GCAGCATTATTTACAACAGTAAAGATACAGAAGCAACCCAAGTGTCTGTCGACAGATGAATGGATAAAGATGTGATACATGCAGACACACACACACACACACACACACACACAGAGGAATATTATTCAGCCATAAAAAAGAACAAAATCTTATTGGCAACAACATGGATGGATCTAGAGGGTATAAAGGTAAGTGAAATAAGTCAAAGGTAGGCTACAATTCAGCCCTACCTAACATAGAATCTATATTCATAACCATTACAATTTGTTTGATGATGATGATGGAAAACTGAGTCACCAAGAGATTAATTTAACAGATCAAGGGTAAAACAACTCACAAGTATCAGAATCAGGATTTAAACCCAAATGTATTTGAATCCATTGTCTGTATTCTTTCTACTATGATAAGCTGCCTCTGTGCCCTGTTGATTTTGGCCAGGATGAAGTTTCACTGTACCTAAAATCTCCAGGATGGAGACTAAAGAAGCAGGAAACTGTTAGAATTTTGAAGTCCAAATTAGACATGTCATATAAAAAAGTGTGTTTGTGTTTAAGCCACATTACTGCTTACAGTAATGTAAGAAATACTTCATTGTTAAAAAAAAAAAAAAAAAAACACTTCTTTTTTAAAATTTTCCATTACAGACCTCAGAGGACAGTTGGTTGGCACACCCAAACTAAAGAGGATTGCTGAATTGAGAAAAAGAGCCAAAACAATAAATGGATCATTTTTGTTATCTCATGTTGGTCCTGGAATGTAATTAATTCCTTTATGACAAGAGTCCTGAAACACTGCATTATATCACATTTATTTGTGTAAAAGTTCAAAGTAAGTGATGAAAAAAATTATTCTTAATATATGAAATACTGAACTTAAGAAACAATCCAAAGCAAGAAATGCAAGGAAAAGCATCTCATTGCTGATAGGACAGTAAAACAGTATAAATTTTGTACTAGTAATATATATGTATCAGGAATTCAAAAATATTCACACCATTTGTCTATCAATTGCCCTCCTAGGAATTTATCCTAAGTAAGCAAAATGAAATATGGGTAACAATTCATATACGAGGATATTCCCTACAATGTTATTTATAACAACAGATAATGGAAAATAATCTTTATGCCCCAGAGTAAGGAAATGGTCCAATTGTAAAAAACTATTGTACAGTCATGTTTATGAAGTTTTTAGTGATAGAAAATTGCTTGTGATACTACTTAATTTTAAAACAAAACATAAAAATTTGCATATGCTAAAAAATTTAATTATGCTCCACAAAATAAAGTAGGAAATAAAAAGTCTAGAAGTAAATATGCCAAAAAGTTAATGTGTTTCTAGATAGTTTGATTATGTGTATGTGCTTTTTCTCTGCTTATAATAATTGTCTATATTTTCCAAATTTATTACATTGAGCATCAGTGAATCAAAAAAAGCAAAAATTAATTCAAAGAGATAAAAACTGTATGAGGGAAAGAAAACAGAGTTGAAAAGTCAAGACATATCATTTTCCCACTCTTATTGGTTGAAATTTTGTCATGAGTATTTAAATAGATTTGTTTTCACATCACATAAGTATTTTGTTGCATCAATAATAAATTTACATATAAGAATATTTAATACAAGTTTTTCAGAGAGAAAATTACTTTTTAGTAAAAATATATTTATGTTAGTTTACATAGACTCTTGCAAACACACTATTTAGCAACCACTTTTGGGGGTTTAGAAATCAGTCCTAGGATACAGAACCACATATTCCAAGGTTTTATAACTTCTTACAAATGTCAAGGGAAAAAACCAAAAAGGTAAACCTGTCTGTATGGTATATTTGATGCTCTAATTTGTAACATTCATTTAATGAACTCAGACTAATATTTCTTTTGCTTGCTAGTACTAAGCCCTAAATAAAGCTCCTGACTAGATCACATTCATGAAGGTCTCATTTTAATGGAAATTAGAGAGATGGAAAAGATGATAGGAAAAGACATTATAAAAACAGACCTCACAGGTCAAACTTAATCGTAAAACCATTCTCTGTCACATAGACAACCATGAAAACAAATATCCTGTGAGTGAAAGATATATATCGTATCTTTCTAGCAGATCATATTTATGCCATCTTGAGACAGACTTCCATAACTAAATTATGTGAGTACAGCAAGCAATGGCCCAAAGAAAGAGGTTGATAAAGCATTACACTCCAGGAAACCAGATAAACATGTTCATGATTTCAATTGACACAAGAGCAGAATAGCACTGGACATGAAGATAGAAGCCCAGAGAATCAAGTAAATATTGGTTCCTCTACCTCTAAAAATAAGCGTTCATAAAAACAACACCAACTCTTTTATTATAATAATCCCTTGAAACACATTCATGTTACTTGCTTAACTGATAGGCAAGACAGCAAAAGAGAGTGTATGACTTTACCATATAGTATAAAAATTGTAACACTCTGGAGAGACATTTTAAACAACAAAAAGAACATACCTGTAAGCAACTAGAGGAGCAAAGAACAAGAAACTGAAATTTATGAGCAACCTGTCCAAAAAACTATCTCAGATAGTATAACAAGAAATACATTTTCCTGGGAACCTGGATGGCTCAGTCAGTTAAGTGATGGGCTCTTGACTTCAGCTCTGGTCATGATCTAGGGGTTGTGAGATCAAGCCCTGTGTTGGGTTCCATGCTGGGCATGAAGCATGCTTAAGATTCCTTCTCTCCCTCTATCTCTGTCCCTGCCCCTTCCCCTAAAAGAGAAAATAAAGAAAAACATTTTCCCTGTCTAGTTAAACCATTCCCCACCCCTCCTCCTGACCAGAGTAGCTATGTAAGAATATTATTTGTACAGAGATTAAAGTGCAAGGAAAAACTGGGCTAAAAATTTAATGTGGCCCAAAGTTAAAGAACCATAATAATTTTAGAACTAAAAGTCTCTATTTAGCAAAGATATAATTAGGATAGAGGATTCTATTGTTTGAAAAGTAACAGGTCTCATTTCTTAGGATTTAGTTAATTCCTGGTTGTAATATACAAGCTGAAGGATGTGCATGTGTTGTGTGCAAAAAGAGGAAATCAGTAAACCCCTTTGGGAAATTAGAAATTCTGGCAGGTTATAGTGCTTTTAAGAAAATGTTTCCCTTCCTTCATATGAATTGACTCTATTGCTTCAGAATTATTGTTTTTCAGTGGTGTACGTTACAACCATAAGTTACTGACGTGAGACACCAATAGAAGAACAAGAGGTTGTCTGTCTTTCTCATGGAAGCAGAGAGAGACTTGACAGGGGACCCAAAGTTGAAGAGCCAAGACTGATTGTTGTAGATGTGCCTAAATTCTCCTGCTGTAAGTTGTACTCTTAAGACTCAGTAATATAGACTTGGAAATGCATTTTGATAATTACTAATTGTCTTGTTGGAACAAGAGGGTAATCCTACTGTCAGGTGAACCTCTGGTCAGGTAAAGTGTAGGTTTTCCTATGGTGGGTGAAGGGGAGAATATTGTCATTCTTACTATGAAAAGCTGAAAAAGGAATTCTCTCATGGGAGAGTAAGTAAAACTAAGAAGAAAAGCTAGGAACCAAAGTAGTCCTTGAGCAGTTTTCTGTGATGGATTTAACATTTTTCCCACTCATCCTAAATCATGTTTAGCCAACAATATAGAGTTCTCCCATCTATTTAATTCCTTCCAATTAGGCTTTACTTCATTAAACATTATATACACCCATGTCATTACAAAGAATCATGTGCCAGTGGTGTTGTAGAGAATTAAGAGAATCAACAGTAAATTGGAGTGACTGTTCCTTGCACCCCTCTCCTGCTGAAAGCAGCATGCCAGTAACAGTCTCTAAATTCCAGACAATGACCATTGCCAGACACATGAATCTAACTGCAGTTGAGGAAAATAGAGAGAAGCAAGCAGCCAACTGAAAGAGCAAACAGGATGGGCTGACTTGGGAGGGAAAATTAAACCAACCCTCCCTTTCTCCCAAGTATACTAGAAAAAGATGACCCTGAAGGAAGAAGGCAGATAGCTAGCTATTCAGTCATAGGGTTATGCTTTCATCTACTTAAAAAAATCGTATCACTGTATGTACAAAGTCTGTGCAGTCTTCCATGACTAGATATCTTACTATAACAGAATGATAAATGACTTCTTAGGATTAGGTATTTATTAAGGCATATGCATTTACTTCTATTTTCATCAATACTCTCACTCAAAATATTTGAACAGGATCATAAAAAACAAACACTGTTAGAAAATATAGATGAAGAAATTGTGGTTAAAGACAGATTAATATGATCGGAATGAAAGAAAAATTAGTACACAGAAATATAAACCAAAAAGTTTTTAAGTATCCTTAGCAAGTACTATAAAACTGGATCTGAGTTTCCCAACAGATTAAAAAAAAGGAGGGGGGGGATAAGGCAAGTTACAAGAATCATATTATTTTTAAGATATAAATAAACAGGGGTGCCTGGGTGGCTCAGTGGGTTAAGCCTCTGCCTTCGGCTCAGGTCATGGTCTCAGGGTCCTGGGATCGAGCCCCACATCGGGCTCTCTGCTCAGCGGAGAGCCTGCTTCCCTTCCTCTCTCTCTCTCTGCCTGCCTCTCTGCCTACTTGTGATCTCTGTCTGTCAAATAACTAAATAATAAAAAAAAAAGATATAAATAAACACCTTCTTCTACAAAAGAAGAAAAGTTTTTTCTGAAACTGAGGCCTGTGAGAAATGTACCTTATAGATATTTATTTAAAAAAAAAATGACCTGTACCCCTGGGAATAAAAATATATTATATGTTTATAAAAAATAAAATTTAAAAAAAATACAGAGAACACACTCTATAAGAAACATAAGAGCAAGTCACTTCCAAAGGGTTCCTCGAGGAAACCAGCATATTATACTAATTCTTTAATCAGTAAAGAACACTTTTTGTTCTCAGATAATCTATTTGTATTACTTAATAACCACCAGATAACAAAAGACATATATATATGTCTCACCTGTGATTCTTTCACGTTTTCAACAGTAAAGTTGAACCAGACTCGGAAGCGTGGATTACAGGTATCCGGCCTAATGAATAAGTCATACTCAAATTCAGAGACCTGGTCCACCCGTCCGAGGTTACCTGGTGATAAAAATCAAAAGAACTGTGTTTTAATAGAAGTTCAGGCAGCTCAGTGGCACATACATTTAAATATGAGCTCTGACAGCAACGTTTATCATTATTCAGTACTTGTAGGTTCAGCATTCACAATCTATAAGGCTGCCAACTCTGAATACAGCCCAGGACAAGAGAAGCCTTCCAGCTAGTCCATGCTGTGGTACAAAGAGCTCTTCGAGTACTTATTAGTCAGATCTATTTGTGCTACAAGTGACAGATTATTACACTGGGATGTCCACGGAGCATGTGGCAAGCCCCAATAAACCAAGGAAGTATCACCACCAAACTTCAGCTTCCTAGTTAGAGAAAAGGACAATAATATTTCATGTATTTTGTGTTAAGCTTTATACAAACTACTTCTATCTCTAATTTAATTCTCACAACAATAGTATGCATTGTACTATGCACAGTACAAGCTACTTTTGGTAATCGCCAAACTTCTATCAGAACATGTTAAAGGATATGTAGAATAAGGTTTTAAACAAAAATTAGAACTAGTTGCTCCATAAGAATAATGACAAATCCACTAACAGCCATGAAATTAATTTCCATTTTCTCCACCAACAAATCACTTATATCAAAAATATAGTTTGCCAGAGGGGAGGTTGGTGAGGAAGGGGTGAATAAGTAAAGGTGATCAAGAGTACACTTAACTTGATGAGCACTAAGTAATGTATAGAATTGCTGAATCATTACATTGTACACCTGAAACTAATATAACACTGTATGTTAATTATATTTTAATTCTAAAAAATAAAAAAATATGTATAAACTTAGGTACCTGTGACTTCCATTCCTCGTATCTCCTCTCTTTGACTTCTACGCTAATGAGCAGTGAAATCAGTTATAGGGCTATGCTTTCACATAACTGTCACAATGGGGTAGGATAAAAAATAGAAGCAAAGAGTATGGTGAATTCTCAAGCCAGATAATCAACATCTGAAGAAGAGTAAAGATGACTATAGACAGCAACACAGAAATTGACTGAGAAATCACTATTCTATTGCACCTGAAGAGCATAGCAATATCCTGCTTTAAAATAAGCTCTAGTGTCTTTCTCCAAATGAATACTCAGAATTAAACTTTAACCTTAAATATAACAAAGTTTTCAATTAATTCTTTTACTGGTTCTTCTGGCATGTTACTTATTTTACTGAGCACCTGTTGTGTTGTCAAAGATAGAATATGAGCCTGGAAATCAGCAGACCTAAATTCTAGTGCAGCTGAATCACTGTGCAACAATACGTAAGTTACTTACTCTCTAAGGGCTTCATCTACTAAATGAGAATATTCAGTTACCTAATCTTAAAAATTCCTTTCAGCTGTACCATTCTTTGCCTGAATCTAAGATTCATCAGGCAGTAATCCAAGATAATAAGACAATCTTCCCCCAAAAACCTTATCAATTAACCCTAGGGTAATTTTATCTGCTTTCATTAAAATCTGGCCTGAGAAGCCAGACTTACTACTCCTTCCAGAGCCAAAACAATCAATTACCTCCAATCAAGAATACATATTGAAAAAAAAAAATGCATTGATAGGAAAGTACAAACATGAACTAATTAAAACCAAAAACTTCAATTTTTCTAGTTTCAATTGTCTTCAGAATTCCCAAGAAGAATCCTCAATTAATTTGGTTCTTTCAATTATCATGCAAAAATATTTAAAAAGCCTTATGTCCTACAGGGCAGAATACTCATTGCACAGTGGCATTGAACTTGCAATCAGAGATCTAGGCTCAAGTTCTACCTCTATCCACTTCCTGAATATCACTGGAAAATTCAGTTAATTTCATCCAGGCTCTGTTTTTTCAACTACAAAGTGAGGATTATATTAACAGAAATATGAATATTAAAAAAAGAAATATGAATATTTATCTCTTGGTAACTACTATGAATATTAATTTTCAATTGAAAACATTTTCTGAGCACTTCTACACTCCACATACTGTCCAAAATGATGGGGGTACTAACCTATCCAATTCTAACAACAATCCATGTGAGGTAGAAACCAATACTATCCCCATTTTACATATGAAAACATCAAAGGACAAAGATATAAAATAACTTATCTAGAGTCATATAACATGTAAGCAAGTAAGAGTCAGAGTTGGGATTTGAATTCCAGCAATATGACTCTAAATCACTATACTAACAGCTTTTCTACATAACATAGATGCTTGAAAAAATACAGAGATAATATAAATTGAAAGTATACTAACAGTTCTAATGGTTAAAAGAAACAAGAAAGAGAGGTGCCTAGGTGGCTCAATGGGTTAAAGCCTCTGCCTTTGGCTCAGATCATGATCCCAGGGTCCAGGGATCAATCCCTGCATTAGGCTCTTTGATCAGCAGGGAGCCTACTTCTGCCTCTCTGCCTACTTGTGATCTCTGTCTGTCAAATAAATTAAAAAAATCTTTGGTGCACCTGGGTGGCTCAGTGGGTTAAAGCCTCTGCCTTCTGCTCAGGTCACGATCCCAGGGTCCTGGGATGAGCCCCATATCAGGCTCTCTGCTCTGCGGAGAGCCTGCTTCCTCCTCTCTCTCTGCCTGCCTCTCTACCTACTTGTGATCTCTGTCTGTCAAATTAATAAATAAAATCTTAAAAATTAAAATAAAATAAAAATAAAAGAAACAAGAGATAAAAAAAACACTATGTTTTGCCATCTAAATATTTCTGGTTAAACAATTAAAAACTATGTGCATTTGAACATTTAAAGGAAACTTTTATTTTGTTTTTAATCCTGGAACACTATAAATGGGTTTTGATAAATAATGATATATCTTAAAATTGCTGCCATAGATGCTATCTAATAATAAGGCACCATTTGTGTCAAAACCTTTAGTTTCATAATTAACTGAAATGCTTTATTTTATTAAAGCCTCACCATGACCCCATGGATGAGTAGTTGAAAGTCAGAAATATTTAGTGCTTTGTTGAGTTCATAATTTAAAGCACCAGGAAAAACCTTGAAATAAAGACTTCTGATTCCATTGTGTTGTCTTTAGAATATATCATAGCCACAGTCAATACATTCATCCATCTATTCAATCAGTTATTCCTCAAAAAAATACCATGTTATGTGTTGTAAAATAAAACAGATAATAAATCAGATATAGACTTTGTGCTAAGTTTATTCTCTTAAATAATAACAAGCATCTGGACCTTGATCTTCTATAACTATCCTGTTGACCACTTTCACCATTACTGTGAGAAATATCTTCTTTGTGGGTATACATAAACAATCCTTTCTTCATGTTACCTCTAATATTTCAACAAAGTGCCAATTTTTGACCTTTTGAAAATGGTTATTTGTAAATAAACTAACAGTGCCTCTATATAATTTGGTTCCTTTCCACTCATATGAAAAGCAAGAAAAGAAAACAAATAGAAATTCAAAATACAGGACAAATACAAAACAAAAAATAAAATGTAGATTTTAAACATAAGTATGTCTGTAAGTGTGCTAAATACAAATTGACTAAATAGCACAGAAAAAAATTTTTATTCTGGATAAAAAAATTAACTATATATTCTTTATAAATACAACTTTACATTTAAGACAATGGAAAGACTGAATAATAAAGAAATGAAAAAGCTAAATCAGGAAAGCACTCTGAAAAAAGTTAACATAGCTATATTTGTATCAGACAAGGTAGGCTATAAATCAAGAAATATTATTAGAAATGAAAGGCGGTATTTCATGATGAAAAAAAGGATAATTCCATCACAAAGATATAAAAAATCTTAGAGCTATGGACATTTATTAACACAGCTCCAAAATATGTAGGTAAAATATAACAAAATAGAAGATAGAGACAAATGCACAATTACACTGAGAAACTTCAACAGACCAAAACCACAACTGAGAAAATTAAGAAAACAGTAAAAAAGAATTGAGAGTATTGAAAATGTGATTAAAAGGTTACTTGCTTCTAATTATGAAACACTTGATATTTATAGAACTATGTGTGTGTGTGTGTGTGTGTGTGTGTATTCTTTTCAAACGCACATGATACATTCACCAGAATTGATCATAAGCTGGTCCATAAAGTCTCAACAAATTTCAAAAGAAAAAAAAATTTCAAAGGAATTTATACTACACTGCATATGTACTGATACCATATTAATAGCATTTAGAACTAAATTATATATAATAAATATATGACAATATTTATGGGATGTAGCTAAATCTATTAAAAACAGAAATACATATATATATAAATATAGATGATTTTCATTAATTTATATATGTCTGAAATCAATTATCTAATCATAAGAAACTTTAAAAATAATTATATTATTAATATAATAATAAAAAGAATAGAGAATGAAATATAGTGAACAGTAATATCTGTTCTATTTTACAACACACAACATGGTACTTTTTGAATGAAAACCTGATTGAATAGATGAATAAATACTGAATATTGACTGTGGCTATGGTATATTTTATTTCAAGGTCTCACCCTGGTGCTTTAAACTATGAACTTAATGAAGCACTAAGCATTTCTGAGTTTCAATAGTAATAGTAAAAGAGAATACTACTGCAAAACTTACATATATCAAACAAGCAAAAGGAAAAAGCAACAAATATATAATGAACTATATGTGGCAATACATTGGGAAAATACATGAAATACAAAAGTTCTTTTTTTTTTAAGGTGTTCTATTTTGGTTTATTTTGTATGTTTTTTTTTTATTGTGTTTGTTCCTCACCATACAGTACATCATTAGTTTTTGATGTAGTGTTGCATGATACATTGTTTGCATGTAACACCCAGTGCTCCATGCAAACCATGAGCTCCTAATACCCATTAACAGGCTCACCCATCACCCACCACCCTCCCCTCTAAAACCCTAACTTTGCTTCTTGGAATCCATAGTCTCTCATGGTTCAGATCCCTCTCCGATTTCCCCACTTCATTTTTCCCTTGCTTCTCCTAATGTCTTCCATGCTATTC